GTTCGATTGTACCCCCTAACTTTAAGCTTCTTCATTCGCCCTTGCAATCGAGTATGAAATAGCAGAAGAAATGAGTTCGTCGGATATTCTATTTTCCTTATGAGGAATAAAACGACACGTCACAACCGAATTCATTAAAAAATGTAACAAATCTAATAAAATGAAAGCATTCGATGCAAAATTTAATCATAATTTAAACTTTGTACGATTCAAATAGTCACTTTATGTTATTTCAATTTGGATAATGATAGATGTACATCAAAGTATACATAAGGGTGTCCATGATGGACACCCGACACCTTCCTATTGGAGGAAGTGCTTGTGGGATCGGCACTCCCTCCAATGAAATGATACCGGGTGTCCATTATGTTCTATTTGATGTACAAGAGCATGGTCCTTTCAATTTGGTTTTTACATCTTCTGTAGAAACTAGAAAGTCAACCAACTACAAACTTGAAGCACGATGCTTGAACAAAACCTGGGTGATCTCAAATTACAACTCTTAAACCAATCACCATCAATTCTGCTTGTATTGTTCCATCGCTGTTAGGTTTATATTTCCCATCTCCTAGACAGCACTACCAGTTTAAAATCTATCTACGCTCTAGTGTACCATTGCCACCATTCCCTGTGCAATACTTCACCAGACAATTCAACTCGATGTCCACAAGAACACTCAGCGGCGAATCTAGGGTTAAAGTTCAGCTAAGGTGGACCTTGTTGATCGTTGACCGTCGACAATCAACGATCATAATAAAGATGTTGTCATTAATATTTAATTAAATAATATTGACCCAAACATGAAAAAAAAGAAAAAAAGAAGAAGAAGAAGGAAAAACTCCAAGGATGCAATAGGAACCAGCTACCAGCATTTCCTTGTGTGACGTTTTGCTAGAATTCATAAAATTAACCAAAGTTAAAGCATTCCAAGATCACTAACTAAGGCAAAAATTCCCATAAAAGCTAAAAATACTCCAAGTATTCCTAGATGTCAAATATCAAAAGAGCTAGAAGCAATCCCCAAACCAAAAGTTCCTTTATGATCTAAACCCACTACTCTTATTAGTCCCAGAAATCAAAATTACCCAAATCCTAAAATATGAACATAATTTTTTTTAACCCTAAATTTCTAAACATAAATAATAAATTCCCAAATCACATATTCACAAATCACAATTTTCATTTAAA